ATCGAAACGTTTCCAGAACGTGTTTTTGAATTCTGCCACACGAGAGCGCCCATTAAGATACTGCTAGTTTTTCATCGGCGACACGCTTTATAAAACCAGTACAGATGGATATTACGCAGTCGTTGGCTGTCAATGCGGCCAGAGCTTGGTGTGTTCGAAACTGTACTCGATGTACTGTATACGAAAACGTGACGCGCGGAGATTCGGGGTTCCTACGCACCTGGAAAGTCGGGAAAAATCAAGGATTTTTATGTCCCGAAATTGTCAAAAAGTTGGAAAAAGTGAGGAAATTTGCCTCCTTGATCTTTTTGTTGACAATACGTTTGAGTAAGTGTAGTCGTCCGCAGACAGTAAGAAGTAATAATATAGTGCAATACAACTTACGAAAAGGGATGCGGAATATTTTCAGAACCCAAAATTTCTTCAAAAATTATAAATAATTTTAATTTTCATTTTTCATTTTAATAATTTTGATTTTGTAACAAAACACTTTTTGATTTTTTCGTTTATTAATATTTTATATTGTTCAGGAAATCTATTAAAGGATAAATTTAACAAATACAGTATATATTAATACTTTTGTACATGGATTATACAGGATTTGTTAATGAATGATAAAGGCTTTTTTTTCAAAGTCATAGATTTATGGTTGTGGATTAACAGAATAAACTATTTTATTTTTACTTTTAATAATTCGGCAATTATAAAAATATATATATAACTGTTAATTAGAAAAAATAACTAATTAAAAAGTTGGAGAAGCAATAGCATACGCGCATAGTAAGTCAAATGCATTTTTATTTTGTCCATGTGTTACGCTGTAAGGGAGGTGAGGGTTAGGAAATTTGAACAAAGTTGGTCGGGTAAAATCGTGGAATTTAAAACAAATATTGAGTAGGAACCCCGGAGATTGTCCGCGTATTCAATCGTTCCAGTTGCATTCATTTTCATACGAGGAAAATTTAAGAAGAGAGTGGGTAACCAGCCTGGCACGTACAGTACAATACAGTACATCCAGCTAGAAATTCTAGATAAATAATTTCGCCATCATTAGACCCGCAAGTCCGTACACAATGATTACTTGCGGATAGAGTTTGTGACGACTCTATATTTGTCTCAAGAACACAAATATTTTGCGACAATATATTAATTAATTAAACTTTCGTCTACTTTATCACTCGAAAAATAATTGAGTCAAGACTCCTAGCATTAAGCATTCATTAGGCTTTACTTTTAATAATATATTCAAATATAGCCGGATATTCCAAAGATGGCGATTCTCTCGAGTCATCTATTATTCTACGATTTTAAGGAACTTTTTGGTGAAAACAATTGTCCGTCCGAAATGGACTGGCAACACGCTACGCAGCACTTCACCAAACATTTTAAGTAAATTATCATCAAAACTACAACAGTGTCTTCTGTTACGTAACACGGTTTTCTGCGGAACGAATTAACAATAGAAGATATAAATTAAAAAATACAAGTTTGTAGAAGAAATTATGCAACAATCTGGAAATTTTGCATTAGACAATTTACGATATTCTGCGAATATTTTGCATTACTTTACGAATTAAACGGCAATATAAATATTCCTCGATAGGTAATAACACTGGAATAGTAGAAAAATTACAGAAGCCAATTTTGCTAATTACTTTCTACAAAAAAAAATAAATAGGATTTAGGTTTTCTTAATTTTACTTTAAACTTTTGCCAATTTTAAAAGATATTTCCCCGCCACGCACGAATGTTTTCTAACGTAAAGAAAAGAGCGCGCTCTTTTCTTTACGTTAGAAAACATTTATACTTTTGTAAAAACTACTGAAAATACTCTCTTTATAATTTAAAATATAAACACTCGTACAATTACTAATAAAATGGGCGTTGAATGAATTTCTATTAGTAATTTCGAAATCAATTATATTCTCAGTTCTATAGTTTGCAGTTCCGTAGTTCTCGCAGTATCTTAATGGCACCGCAGTACGAGAAAATACACGAACCTTCTCTGGAAACTTGCGGATAGTCGGAGCAATTTGTCTGCCCCGGGGTAGTTTCATTTTTGCCTCCGTAAGGGGCAAAAACACGAATACGCGTATACTCCGTCGGGCTCGGTTTCGTCCGAAGAAAAGGCGGAGTACGCGTGGTTAATTTAGTTAATCACATCTGAATTATTATCTTCTATTAAATATTTATATTTATTAAAAATTCTCGTAGAAATTAAGAAAAAAGACGTATCGTCTCATCGATCCGCCCGAGACAAACCGACCCAACGGCCAACAACGGTTGCGCCATCGTACAAATCAAGAATTCAAACCGCTAACGAGTAAGACGATTATTTACTAGAAATCGCATTTCCTCAAAATTACATTTTAACAATTGTTAAACCACTACTCGCCCGACTATATACATTACCGGCAGATGAGCCGGGCGTTGCTCGGGCAAAAAGTAACCGTAGCGAAGATTAAGATTCTTAGATTATTGTCGATTTTACCAGTTTTCGTCGGGTGCAAGAATTAGGTCCCCCCCTCTTCCGAGACTAATTTCCGCAAAAACGCAAAAAACCGCATCTAAAATACTATAATAGAAGCCGAATTCTTCGGGTTCATCCTTAATTCACCCTCTCCCCCTCCCCCCGGGGAGATTTCGAAAAATCCTTTTTTTGTGTACATTCTTGTGACGTACCCTAACTGCGTACCAAATTTCAACTTTCAGCTCGTAACCGTTTGCGCTCTGCGCTTATTATTATTATTATGACCCCATTTCGATTATATTGTAAGACTAGCTGTTACCCGCGACTTGGCCCGCGGAGGTTTTGCAAGCAAGCCCCATTTATATTCAGTATTTGAACAACCGTAGTAATTGTTATATAACACCTATCGCCGAGAATGACGAGAATTGCCGAGAATCAAATCGAACTGTTTTCAATTTGATGAATTTTCTGGAACGTTTACAATCGTTCTATAATCGAATCGATACGCGATAACAAATTCGAATTTAAAACGGTTCTAACATTTGGTTAAAACATCGAAATACCTTGTATATAAAAATATTTATAACAATCTGAAATGTTATCAATTTAATACACCTAAGTACTCGACGGAGACTAAACGTAGTTGAAAACAAAAAATCGCATCTAGTACGGTAGACGCCGTTCTTGGGGCTAGTCCAGGGGTGGCCAACAGTTTTTGCCCCCGGGCCGAATTGAAAAGAAAACTTTTTTCACGGGCCGAACCAGAGGCCACCCTAAGAAGATTTTGAGGCGGTGCGAGATCTCGTCGCAGTGTCACCCCGTAGAGACTAAATTGTACTGTACATAGAGATTACAGATGCATTTTTCACATGATCGCGCTTTATCAACGTTCTACGCTGTACTTACGAGATTTGTAATGGAGCGTTAACTCTAAACGCGTAGTGAGTTGTTAACCTTATTTTTAGGCGGTAGAATTTTTCATCCAGCTATTCGAACTCGAGTAGCTAATGTTGAAAGATTAATCGCGGGCCGCGTAAATTCATTAGACGGGCCGTATGTTGGCCGTGCCTGGGTTATGACTTAATCCTCTCTCTCTCCCCTCACCAGGAAATTTCGAAAAAATACCCTTCTTAGTGCGCGTTTTCGCCACGTACCCTAACTGCGTAACAAATTTCCTTTCTTCGCGTTCATCGGTTAGCTCCGGGCCATGATGAATCGATCAGTGACTCGGTCAGTCAGTCGGCACAAGTAATTTTATATATTTAAATACTATTATATAGTAATTAAATTTACCAACTCATCATACATACAAGACACTATTATACTACGCCACCAAAGAGTATACAATTTAGACCATTTTATTTATTAATATATACCGAAACTCATTTCGGCTATTTCGTTTCGAGACACTTCAGAACTGTAACATTAACACGCGTACAAACGGGTGTAAAAATCGACAAAACTTAATTTTTAGACCCGTTTGTACGCTAATGTCGGCGTACACTACTTACCCTTTAGTCTTTCCTACACCCTACAATACGGTTGGAGTTGGAGCAAATAAATTATTTAAATTTTATTTCGACGTATGGCTTTCTTGCGAAATAAAGAACGATAGTTACGGTTAAGCGTTGTATAGTACGACGGCGCCTTAGCAGTAATTAGGCGTAAAGAACAAACGGTGGGATAACGTCCGGACCCTAGGAATTTTACCTGGTCGGCCCGACGGGGGGCGTTACTATCCGCCGATTTTTAAAGAGTGTAAATAAACGTCACCCGTTACGCAGGTAAAGTTTTACACGAAATTAACCGTAAATGAATTTAATATACATTAAGTCGTATAGGGAATCTTAATTCGTATATAAATGTTACGTATTAAGTTATATACCCGGACGGAATAAAATATTTTATTTGCAAAATTTGTTTTAGACGAAAATTATAACGAATTTCGTTTATTTTTATAACTTTTCAGCGATTAATCGCTGTCGGCCCAGGGTTTTTAATATTTTCGTATCTGTCGTTTCGGTGGCGTACTTGGAGATTGGAAGTAGCCCATTTCGTCAAACGTTACGTGTTATTTATGCCTTGGCGTGACGGGTTCAGGCGCGCGCTACTGCCTCCGGTGGAACACAGACGCTGGGATTATTTAACCAATTAACGTATTTAAAGTGTTAAGTTATTAATATTGGAGGAGCCGCACCCGACCGTTTATTAAGTTGGACGGATGCGGCGTCCGCGGTCGTTGGCATAAATTACCGACCGATACCGTCCGAGTGTCGCGAGTAAAATCCGTCGTCTTCTGCCACCCTCCCGTTTTAATTTAAAGTTTTTCCAAATTCTCCCGTAACCGAAATACAAGCCGGACATTTGCCGGTTTAAAGAAGCGTGGAAATCTCGGGCCGACGGCGGCTTTGGCCTAAGCATTTGCCGACGGAAAGACTAAATTAAGACGGTCTAGCGCCTGAAAATGCCCGGTTCTGGCGTTTTTCCGATTGTCAAAGACCGAAGAGGAAAAGGAGAAAAGGCAACTCACCCGAGTCGTCGACGGAGAAGAGTCCCAGTCCGTCGCCTTCCACCACGGAGTAAGTGACTCGTCCGTCGGGTCCGGGGCCGTCGTCGTCGGTGGCGCTCACCCTCTTGACCCGGGTGCCGGCCGGCGCGTTCTCTCGCACGGCGGCCGAAGCGGCGAAGTCCGGGAATCTGGGGGCGTGGGCGTTCTCGTCCACGTCTTCCACTTCCACCAGCAGCCGGGCGGCGGACGTCAGCGGGGGCGCGCCCCCGTCTCTGGCCTCCACCGTCACGTTGTACAGCTGTCGGCGTTCGAAGTCCAGTCGGTCGCTCAGTCTGACGGCCCCCGTCTCGGGGTCGACCGAGAACTTTCCGTCCGACCCTCCCCGGATCTCGTACTCCACCCTCCCGCCCTCCTCCAGGTCGGGATCGTCGGCCGACAGCACCATGACCACCGCTCCCGGAGGTAGATCTTCTCGCAGCTTGATGCGGAAGAGGGGCAGGGCGAAGCGGGGAGGGTTGTCGTTGACGTCCAGCACGCGCACGGTGACGGTGGCGGAGGAGGAGAGGGGGCGGTCGGGTGACAGGTCCCGCACCGTCATCTTCAGTCGGTACTCGTCCCTCTTCTCCCGGTCCAGGGAAGAACGGACGGTCAGCAGCCCGCTTTCCGCCTCCACTCCGAACTCGTCCACCGGCGTCTCCATTTCGAACCTGAGTTGGGCGTTGGGTCCGGAGTCCTCGTCGGTGGCCCGCAGCCTGACGATGCTGGTTCCGTTGCGGACGTTCTCGGGAACCACCAGGTGGTAGGAGGACTTCTCGAAGACGGGCCGATTGTCGTTGACGTCCAGCACGCGCACGGCGAAGAGCGTGGAGGCGGATTTGGGGGGTTGGCCCAGGTCCCAGACGGTGACATTCAGAACGTACTCGTCTCTCTCTTCTCTGTCTAGGGGAGCGAACACCCCCAGTTTTCCGGTGAACGGGTCGATGCGGAAGCGGCAGTCGTCGTCTCCGGAAGCGATGGCGTACACCAGCCGCCCGTTGTACCCGCGATCGGCGTCCCTGGCCGACAGGTCGGCTACCTCCGACCCCACCGGCAAGCTCTCGTTCACTCGGACCTCGGCCGGCCGGTTGCCGGGAAATTCGGGCGGGTGTCTGTTGCCCCGAAAGGTGGTGGGGGTGGGTTCGGTGACGTCTTCCGGTCGGTTGTTCAGTTCTCCCAGTCTGTTCTGCTCTCGCAGTCTCTCGGCCACGCCCACGTCTCGGCATTCCACCGAAGTCTGGCCGTCGTGCCCGGGTCCTCCCGCTCCGCCCACCACTCTGATCCGGACGGGTACCACGTCGGAAAAATGCTTCCCGTCGGTAGCCGTGACGTTGAGAAGCGCCTGGCGGAACTTCTGCCGGTCCAGGTGGCAGGTGAGAGTCAGAAATCCGGCGGAAGAGTCCAGGGAGAAGCAGGGGTGGGGGCCGGAGGGCACCGTCCGATAGGAGACGGCGCTGCCGGCGTCGAAGTCCACCGCCGAAAGCCGGAGCAGAGGGGTGCCGGGGGGCGCGGCGGAAGAGACGTAGACCTCGCAATCGATCTTCTCGAAGAGGGGTCGGTGGTCGTTGACGTCTCGCAGTCTGATCCTGAGGGAGGTTTCGGTCTGACGGCGGAAGGGGGTGCCCCAGTCGGAAGCTCGTATCTTCAGCAGGTATTGTCGCCTGGTGGTTTCGTAGTCCAGGACATCGGTGGTGGTTATTTTGCCGGTGAACGGGTCGATTCGGAAGGGCACGGGATTGACGTTGGCCAAGCTGTACGAGACGTATCCGTTCTCGCCCCGGTCCGGGTCCTCCGCGTAGGCGGTGTACACCGGGCTGCCCGCCGGTCGGTTTTCGTCCAGATCCACCTCCGCCGAAGTGACGTTGAAGACGGGATCGTTGTCGTTGGCGTCCGAAACTCGGACGGTCACCTGAGCGGTGCCTTTGGCGCGGACGCCTCTGACCGACTTGTCCACGGCGCTGACCACCAGTGTGTGCAGGCTCTTGGTTTCGCGGTCCAGAGGCGCCGATATTCTGACGGCGCCGGTGCGAGAGTCCACCGAGAAGGGGCAATCGTCGTCCTCCCCCTCCACCGAATAGAATATTTCGGAGTTTCGGTCGGAAGGCGCGGCCACCGACACCACCAGGACGGGGGTGCCCACCGGCGCCGTCTCGTCTACGGAAGCTTCGTAATAAGACTGGGGGAAAACGGGAACGCCGTCTCCCGTCTCGGGCAGTTTGGGGCGAATCGTCTGCGTGGAAGACTTGGGGGGCACCCCCGAGTCGGTGGCCCTGACGGTCAGCGAGTACTCGGCGGGAGGTGGTCTTCCGTCAGCTAACAGGTTATACTCCCCTGGTTCGGATCCCGCCACCAGTCTGAAGCGACCTTCCGGGTCGCCCTCCAGCTCCACCCCGGCGATGCGTCCGTGGATTCCCGGATCTTCGTCGGCCACTGTTACCACGGCCAGGATGGAGTCGGGCGCCGTCTGACGCACGACGGGAAAATATCGGATGAAGATCTCCGGCGCGTGCAGGTTGACCGGGACCACTCGTACGCGGACGGTGGCGGAACTGGCCCTGACGTCGCCCGCCCGAAATTTGGGTCCTCGGTCCTCGGCCACCACCAGCAGATCGTAAGAGGATTGTCGTCGGTGGTGCAGGGGGCGCGACAGGCTGATGGCGCCTCGGGTGGGGTGGACGGCGAACTGCAGGGTGGGTTGCAGGAAGCGATAGTAGATTTCTCCGTTGACTCCCAGATCGGGATCGAAGGCGCTGACTCTCAGCAGGCTGCGGTAAGGAGGGGTGTCTTCGGTGACGTTGACTTCGTACTCGGTGGGATAAAAGAGCGGATTGAGATCGTTGGTGTCCAATATTCGGACGTCGACCGCGGTCTGCGCTTTGAGCTTGATCTTCTTTCGGCGAGGGCCGGCGGCCGCCGCCCTAACTTCCAGGCGATAGCGGTCCTGGTATTCTCTGTTGAGCACGGCGTGAAGCCCGGTCCGGGTGCGAATGGCCAAGAAGCAGAAGTCCCCCACCCGGCGAGCTTCGGCCTTGAAAAATCGATCTTTGTCTCCGGAAACGATCTTGAATCTGACGTCCAGGGCCGGGTCCGACACGTACATTCCCATCATCTCTTCGGAAGTGACGTAGGTCTTGGAAACGGAATTTTCCGGGACGGAGGCTCGATAGACGGTCCTGGTGAACCGGGGTCCGTCCCCTCTACTCCGGACCCTCCCCGACAGGACCAGAAGTAGACAGACGACGGTTAAGTAGGCGGTCATAGCTCCGGGTCACATCTTCGGTCACGGACGAATCTGTAAAACGGAAGGAGGAAACGGTGAGAGGCGGAAAGCAGCACCATCGATTTGTTTACGTCGCGAATTCGGCGCATTTCCGGTTCCGGAAGGAGACGAAAACATCGATCGCCCGAAGTCGAACGGAAGTAGTTTCCGACGGAGGACGAAAGGAAGAGCGGTTCCGGTGGAGAAGCCGGAGAAGAAAAAGGAAAGCGAAGGAAGAAAGGGCAACGACCGCCCGAGAAAGACGAGAAATTCGCGCCCGTCTAAGGCGGATCGACGGGAGGAAAAAGAGAAATTTCAGAGACGGCGGGAGCGGAGTTCGGTAGAAAAGAGTCAGTCACCGAAACAGTAGACACGAGCAAATGAGGAGGCGGAATACTACCAAGACCGGGCGAATCGTTCGAGCCTGGGAAAAGTTGCGGAAGCAAAATAAAAGATTCGGTCGATGTGTAGAAGGGAAAACGCAAGCGAAGGGGAAAGCACCGCGTCGATTGTCTTGGAGTGGGAAAATAAATCGTAAGGCTGGGTAGAGGCAAACCGTCAAGTAAGCGAGCGAGCGAACGGCACCTAAAGGATATAAATAAACAGGAAAGAATAAGAAGACCCAAAGATTTAAGTTTAGAGACGGAAGCGGAATTGGCCGGACACGGTCAGACTTTTTTGGATCGACAAAGATTTCCGGCATCCGGCGTGTGGGTTAGCGGTAAGAAGCGGCTCCTCACGCCGTTTCGAGAAAGAAAGATGGCAGTATAAAAGACGATTCCGAGATTTCGTTAAGAATTCTGGAATCTGCAAGGACGGAGCACCAAGGGATTTCTTCCATAAATACGAGTGCATCATTGACAGAGAGGAGTTCGGACAGGCCGCAACGGATAGCGAGACCTTATAATAAATCATAAATACAAACCCGTACCTACGACGAGTGCCGCGGTTACATTTTGGTGGGCGAAAAGATAAACGGGTCGAATGTCGAGAGAGGTAGGAGTCGGTGAATCGACGTATAAACCTTTTCGTAAAATTAAGCTTTTTGCCATTTTATAGTAATTAAAAATATAAAAGCGTTTTTATAACAAATCTCGTAACAGATGGCGCCACACAATTTCATTTTGCTTAAGTTGTTCTTTTAAAATAGAACTCCTAACATCCGGGAAAGTTAGTATTTTCCGCACTTTCCTCTAAAAAACGCAAATTTAATAGGAAAAGGTTTGGCGAGAAAAACATTTCTGACCAAACAAATAATTTAATTTATCATTTAAAAAAGTCTAGTAAATTAAAGAATGAAAAATTTGTTACCAGACCAAGTCAACCAATCGAAGGAACATATTAAAATACGAAAAAAGTGCTTAAGATTCTTATTTGCCGAGTCTTGGGCCGTTTACCAGTCACTTTCCACAATATCGATATACGTCCGCCTTATAATCCGGCCATCCGCAGCCAGAACACGCGCGCCATTAACGGTGGTGTCCGGACCGTCTTTTGTTTTACCATATCGATCCTAACGAAATAATCGACGTAATACCGCGGCGGAAAACTAAGTGGACCTACGGTACAATACCGTATCGAATGTTTTAAAATTAACGGCCTTATGTATTTAATAAACGTGTAAAATCCGGAGACTTAAAGCCGGTGCCGCCATACTTATTCTAGAACGGGAATCCTCCTCCCATCCGAGTAATTACGCGAGTTTTCGGAAATTTACCAGAAAAGTTAATATTTAAGAGAAGGTTAAAATTTCCGAAACACGCCATCGATTTGGATTTACGAAACGCGTGTCGACGGATTGGCATCAATTAAATATCCTATCGTACGTCGATAAGGGCAAATCTCTTTCTAAAGCATTCGACCACGCGGATATCCGTATTCTTCCGGCAAAATTACGTAATTATGGATTCCGAAATTTAATTTTCTGTCGGTTACGCTCATATTTACGCAAACGTAGGCTACTTTTGCGGAGAAAATAAACAAAACTTTCTGGAAAATGTTTACTGGGAAACTTCCGTCTTACCACCTCCGTCGTTCCGTATTTACATCCATCGACCGCTTGGCCCGCTTAATCTAATAATAAGCACCAATTATTTATTTCGACACGGTCGCGACGCCGGCTGCCATTTTTAATCGTATTTTAAATTTATTTCATCTAAAATATACGTTCTCCGTCCCGAATTAGTAGCGGCTTGTCCCCGTTAGCAACGGAGTCGTGCCGGTCACGTGTCTAGTTCCTTTCGGGGGGAATTTTTCAATCGTAATAACGTGATTCCGGTTTGTAATGAAATTTCGTATAGGCTAAAAATTGATATAGGTTATAATTGAGCGGCGCCCGCTGCCCCCAACTTGCCATATTTGCTGTCGAATTCCATTTACCCAACACCGTTCTCGAGAACGAGAAAAAACGGACGGACGACAGTGAGAATTTGTCTACAATTTTTAAAAATTGCAGTCCGATAACCGAGTAACGCCAAAGGTGGACGATACTATAATTTCCGGCTCGTCTTCCTATAATTATACCGCCAGAAATGAAATAAACAGCTTTTAAGTAAAAATTTTATTCTATCTGCCAAACCATAAATAAACAAATGTATTACGAATAATCGAATTTTATTATTTATAAGAACAGAAATAAAATTCTGAATATTACGCTGGGCGAAAAATAATTAAGGATCTCGAATAATAACATGTTTATGAATGTAAATTGTCGTGAAGCTGACGTAATTTTTCGAGATGGTCTTTAGCTTACTTGGTGAAAAGTGTAAGAAATATGATATACTTATTATCGCAGAAAACACGAGAAAATACGTCGATTGTTCCAGCTAAAATAGAATACTAAAGTTTAATTTGGGTATCGGCATCGATTATACGAAAGTGTTGCTCGACAATGGGTCGAACCGCTGTTTGCAACGAACGTGGCAAAAATTTAAAAGAGAATCTTAAACCATAGGCTAGTATAAATTACTTGGTGGTTCGTCGGCCACTTTCATTATTTTGTTTGGTGATTGTTGCTAGAATTTGCATGTACCGATTTCAACAATCGGTAGAAAGTTTATACTATCGTCCTGATTATTTTTACGCTTTTACACTTGTATGCACGGTGTTAAATTTTGCTTCGAATATCTTATTAATTGAGGGAAGAGTTAATTTAAAAAGGCAGCGCGCTCCCACTTTCCGCTATTTTTTAATTTAAATTTTCTAAATCTTGTTAAATAGTTGTATACATAATGTTTATATACAATAAAAGGAATTTTTTAGGTCTCTCTCACTAGTTGGAGTTGCTCTTTGTTTAGTAGTGATGTTCCTGAGCAGTTGGTATTATGCTTTAGCTGCAATGGTTATTGCTGGCTGCATTTATAAATATATTGAATATCGAGGGTAAATATATATAAGATAACTTGGGATGAAATGGATCGCGCTAAGCTTTTAGCCTCGTATTACTTTTCCGCCTCTGTTATATATAACAGAGGAAAAGTATGGCCATCGGTCAAAAATGACCCCCCTCAAGATTTATATATTTTTGGACTTGAAACGTCGAGAAATATAAAAATATCGGGTCTTTTTTTTGTCTAAACATTTCGGGGGTCACGATTTTGTTTATCCTCTTTATTCCCGTACAAAACATACCGGAACTCGCTCGAGAGGGGTCGGACTTAACGAAGATTTTACTCGTTATCGACATTTACAATTTATTTCATTTTTTAAATAAAACTCATCGCTACTACAAGTTTAATTTTAAGATCGATCTGATTTTAAAAAATTGTAAATACTAATAACCAGTAAAATCTTCATTAAGTCCTTGCCCACTGCAGATATGACACACGACCTAGTGTTCCATTATCTACCCACCTCCTCGACCTTTCCCTCCCAAAATTTAATAGCATCGATATCCCTAATATAAAAACCTCCCTAAAAAATTTCAGAAATTTTCGACAAAACACGGGAATTAAGCTTAAAAGTGGGTGAACAAAAGCGTACCCTCCGCGTACACATTGCATATATCCATATGCAATATACAGAAAAACAATCCTAAACTTTTTTTTTTTTTGCATTTCTCGACGTTTCGAGGTGTCTCGAGTTCAAAAATCTCGGGGGAATCATTTTTTGACCGATTTCCATACTTTCCCTCTGCTGAAAAAGTAATACAGCCTGTTATTAAGTATACGCGGAGGAATTTTTGGCGATGTTACGCTGTGGTGTAATATTTTTGTAAAGAAAAGCAAACTTCTTTAAACCAGTGGCCACAACAAAGAAATTAAAGCCACTCCTTTCGAGACAACGGACTTCAAAATGAGTAATATTTATTACCAAATTTCTAGCAAGCGCGTTTGACGTTGGAATATGTGCAAAAGTAAATGACTACGAAATAGAAAATTTGCGGGCTTTATTAACAACCGTCGAGTCAAAAGAGGACTTTTCCGAGGATTTGTTCGGAAGATATACCGTCAAAAGTTTGAAATTTTTCCAACTTCGAGCGCAGCCAATAAAAAGAGTACTGTAATCGATCTTGACCTTCAAATTTTACACAGCATTTCACCGCTTTGTACGGCTTACACGGTACAAAGCGGCGAACCGCTGCCGCAATTTTCGAGAAAATATCAACATTATTTGCCGAATGGCAGCGTGCCAAAAATGGAAAAAGTTTCGAATGGCTTTCGCCCCATTTTGACCACTTCCACTTAAAAGCCTACTACGGTCCAAGTATTGTGTATCGAAATGTGAGATTTTGTAGAACTTCCTTCGGTTACTTTAAAAAGTTACGCACCAAATTTCAGCAAAATCTAAGACGATGGATGGGACGGGCTGCTTTATCGATCGACACGGAATGACCCCGTAGCGAATTTAGTTTGATATATTCGTGTTTAATTAGTTCGATTATGGTAATTGACAAGCGCGCGACTTATTTCACACCGTACGGAAATCGGATACGATCCATTTCACCGTACACCGGTAGCCCGAAATAAACCACCGCGTACTACACGGTTAAACTTAACAAATTGCGACAGAAACTTTTTTCGGCCACCACTACG